ATTCTATGGTATCTATGACGAGTAATTTCTTCTCTTGTATAATAATTTATTGATAAATATTAGTGTGATGATGATATAAATGTAACTTATATGCAATAGAGCTTTAAAATGAAACATTGTATAGATTGTAGAAATATGCTTGGTGGAATTATATTTTTGTAGGATGTCAGATTGTTTTGAGAATCTATATGTAATTTAAATAATCATAGATACAGTAACTTTAAAATTATGTTTTGAAAGCAGAAATGTAAAAATTCAAAATTATTATTAATCTAGTAGGAACAAAATTTATTAGAATTGATTATTTGTAACATCATTTATATAAAATGTTCATTCAAATTTAGAAAAATTTTTATTTTAAATTACATTTTAAATTTTATTTTTTAATTTCTTTGTTTTGTTTATTACAAAATTATTTAAATATATGATGAATTTTAATTCAAGTTCAGAAATTAAAGAAAATAATGAAATTTAATGTTCTGATCTTCTTTCTATAATTTTCTTTCTATAGTTTTTAGTTTAGATTTTATAATTTTGCAACAGATTTGGCTTTTATTTATACAATAACATGTAATACTTATATATAATCTGTATATATTTAAATTTAAATATATACAGAATTAAAATATTTTTGTCAATGAGATTTTTTATTTTCTTCCTTATGATTGATTTGAAATAAAATATTATTACTCTTAAGTTTCACGAAATAAATAATTTTAGAACATTGTGCAAACATTTACATTATGTAGATATATTTAAATTATATAATTTGAACAAATTGGCTATGGTACAAAGTCATTCACCTAACTTTTACATATATTGAATTATTAAACAAAAATTTAATAATACATCAATCGAATCAAATTTTAACAAATTAATAATACTGATAATAATAATAAAATAGTATGCATAACATACATAAAATAATACTTTTAAAATAATTATAATTACTATATTTTCATGTGTCATGTGTCAAAAATCAATCGACACATCAAATAGAAATTCATTTAATAAGTAAATAATAAAATAAATGCACGAACAAATTCACGGACGAACAGAGACTCATCGAAAGAGAAAGATTCGTCCACAAGGAACGAAAATACATAGTTACAAATCCTTTATAGCGATTCGTAATTGCGATAGAATGTAGTAACATGGCGCAATCTCTCATCCTTTGACGCGCGATTCACTCGTAAAACAAACGAGCTTGCTGGCCAAAAAAATATCGTATTTCAAGTGACGAGCCAACAGCCGAGCGTGTCATGCCCGATGCCAAAAGCGTGTTGTTCGCATTTTGACCGTGTCGAACCGCGAGTTTGACTCGTTTTTTCTCGGCATAATAATTCGATTCGCGTTCTAATTGTTATCATCTTCGAGTTGTCATTTTTGCTGGAAATTTGCGAAAGAATTTTTGAAAAAAAATAGAGATTGATTTAGATAATTGATAATTCCATGAACGATTAAATGATATTCACGTCGATAATTAAAAATTAAAATTTCCAAGTTAAATTTCCAAGTTATTCGCAGCGAATTATAAATTTTTGGATGAAAATTTTCATTCGATTGAAGTATTTTGACATTTCTTACAATTTGTTATTTAAAGAGAAAAA